GATTTTCCAAGAAACTCCAGGAATTCCCATTTTCAGGTGTATTTCCTCTTTAAAACAAAAATTAGCACCTACTTCCAATTAAAAAAAAAATAGTAAAAGTTACACAACACGCCCACAACTGGCTCACAATCTTTATGAGAGACCCATGTTATTCTCAGATGTAGTATCTGTCGTTCCAGCGGATTCCCAGGTGACCACAAAGGCCCCGTGCATGCAGTAAGGGCTGATTTTGTGGACACTCTGAATTTGAGTGTTTTGGGGTCCCACCTGGCAGAAGGGAGCAAGTCACCTGGCCGGGGAGCCCCGTACCCCTCTTCTTCTTCTGTGACGTGCGCTGTATTCGTGGTAAACCTCCCGTGTTGACAGGCTCACTCTTTCTCCGTGAGAGAGAGAAAAGGCCAATTTTGGTGAAGCAAAGAGAAAGCGAAGTGACCGGAAGAGGGATGGTTTTCCACCAGAAAAGAGCAGCGTGTGGGATAAATTAAAATGTGCAATTTGCCACTTGCCGGTGGCACAGATTTATCGTGTGAATAAATCTGCCATTCTCTAGGTGTATGACGAAAATAAATCCACCCCCTGAGGAGCTCAGGCTGGTGCGGAGCTGGCTCACCCGAGTGAGCAGTGAGAGCGTCAGAACGGGTTGAAAGGTGGTCGCCTCGCGTGTCGGGGGAAAACGCACCATAAACCCAAGCTGGCCAGCAGAAATGGGGTTCAGGGGGACGCCGGCCCCGTATGCAGATGTCTCTCGGAAACCACGGGCAGGACAGCTCTGGTAATGGAGCTGCAGAGTTGACCTTCACTCCGGGAAAGGGTGATTTAATTTTTCAAAGCGTCTCCTCAGCATAATAGGACTCAGAGGGCACAGGCAGCTGGAGATGATCCCGTTGTCCGAGGAGCCTCCCCTCCCCGGTGAAATCTGCTTGGGGCAGAAGAGTCTCTGTAGACAGAAATGGGCCCCGCCGGAAGAACGCACCTCCCTCGATATCCTTTTCCAAGAAGAGGCGAGCACAGGGGTGCAGCGACCAAGGACGGAGGGCTGTCTCGGGCACACCGTTCCAGCCCAGCCTCAGACCACTGAGGCACGAGAGGACGGGCCACCTGTGCACGTAAAGACCAGAACAAGGGAGGGGTCACCACACAGCTCTTCCGAGACCGACGTTATACGCTCTCTAAGCTGGAAATGGAGAAGGGGCTTATGCTCTGCTGGTCTTGGCGCTGCCTGAGCCTTCTACCAACGCGGGGATTTGCACCCCCACTGTCAGAGCCTGGGCACACTTATCTCTTATTTATAGACCTGGGTCCCTTATTTATAGAATCATCTAGAGGATCTGAAGGGGCCTGAGTTTTTTAGCTCTGCTGTAGTGCAGATGATGGAGCAAACAGCGTGCTTTGCTGCTGTTCACAAATACCAAGAGTGACAAGGTCTGGGGTAGAGATGATTTTCCAAACCTTTGTTTGGCAAAAATCATCATGCCAGTCACCAGGGTTGTAGTTTGAGGCCTGTGGAGCTGACATGGCCTTGGGGCTACAGGAGAACCCAGCCCCCAAGTCCTGCCTGCCTCAGGGCCTTGCCACCTGTTGTTTCCTGGCCCAGAACACCCCCACCCCTGTCTGCTGTATGGGTATTCACAGGGCTCACTGCCTCAAGTCTCCACTCAGATGTGGCCTTCCCTCACCAAGGATCTCAGATAGTGTCCCCCCCTCTAGCTTCAGTGTAGCTCAAGACCGAGTCCTGGCCTCCCAGCTACTTCCAGGACCTGAGCCCTGTGTGGCTCCCTGCATCTCCCCAAGGGGGCATTTCCACACCCCAATCAAGGGTCCCCACACTCATCAGCAGGTTAAGCCCAAGCTGCTTCCAGCCCTCACGTTCTTTCTGCTCAGTGTTTGGGTCACTGATCAGAAGGGCAAACAGGGGAGACTAAAAATTAGCCTTGACCTGGGTGAGCAGAATCCCGGGTCACTTCTGCCACTCCTTACCTTCCTGTCCTGAGGAGCAGCATTGGGGTAATGATGAGAGACTACAATCAAAGTCAGAAAATGACCCACTTGCCGTTTATCGCCCCTGCCGGCCATCCGCAGCCACTCGAGGTTCCTTTGGGTGTCCTTGACCCTCCTGGGAGAGTAGCTTGAACTTGTCGTGGCCTTGAGGTAGGCCAGCCCCTTGGGTTCTGTTGGCCTTCATGAGGTTTCTTAAAAACGAGGCTATGTCATGAACAAGTAAAATCAGGGTATTTCACATAGATTGTAGCTTTTCTTAGGGGGAGAAAAAGGCAACACCAAGAGCGCCGACCTACATGGGGGTGCCTGGGTGGCTCAGTCAGTTAAGTGTTGGACTTCAGCTCAGGTCACGATCTCACGATCTGTGGGTTTGAGCCCTGTGTCAGGCTCTGTGCTGACAGCTCAGAGCCTGGAGCCTGTTTCAGATTCTGTATCTCCCTCCCTCTCTGCCCCTCCCCCACTCACTCTCTGTCTCAAAAATATGTAAACATTAAAAAAAAATTTAGAAAGAAAAGAGCGTAACTGTATATGGCAGGTGCTAGCTGGAGCTGGACTGTGGCCCTCGGCCCGGAGTGTTCAAGTTCACAGCCATTCCCTGGGTGCCTGGTGAGAATTGATATGTGGCTCCTTTTAGTTTAGCTTTTCCATAAAAAGCCACGGTCTCCCATCAACCCAGTGCCCGGCCGTCCTGGAAGCCAGCCCAGCGGAGCTGCTGGGTTTCCGTTCCTCTCCTCCCAGTGCTGTTCCAGATGTCGCTTCCAGAACTTGCCTTCAGACCCCACACTCCTCACACAACATAGCAGAAGGGCCAAGCGTTCCGACAGGAATCGCCAGTGCTCCGCGTGGATGGCTTACTGAGGTCGTGAAGATGGATGGATGCCGTGTTATATATCCCAGGAGGTCACACTGTGAATTACCACTTTGTTACCTTCGCTAGATGATGTGATCCAGTTGCTTCCGTTGAATTCATGCCTCCAGCGCAGACCTTCTCCCAAACTCAGGCTCAAGTGTGTACGTGCAACCTGACAGCTCCATTCGGATGCCAGAATCGCATCTTGGACCCAATGTGTCCGAGCCTGAGCCCCTGCTCTCTTCCCCCAAACCTGTTCTACCCACAGCCCTCCCAGCTCACCGTTCCCTCTCCCGGCCACATCCAACCTGTCAGGAAACCCCGCGGGCCCTGTCTTCAGCACATATGCAGGATTTGCTGCCACCTCCGCCTCCCTCCCTTCATTCAGTCTGTCCCCCACTCAGCACCTCAGTCAGGGCAAGCAGTCCCTTCCCTAGAGGCTGCGGTGGCTCCGCGTTTCACCCACAGCACGGCCCTGAGCGAGCTGTCCCTCCCCACCGCCATTAGGCCTCCTGAGCCTGGTTCCCCGGCTGCCCGCTCCACCTTGGTGCCCTGCACTCAAAGCTCCCCTCCCTGGTGCCTGGGCCACAGCACCACCCTCCAGCCCCGCTCCATTCTGCTCTGCCTGTTTTTCCAGAACATCTTCTGCCGTCTAACACTCTTCTGTTTATCATTCCCCAACTTGTTGTCTTACTGTACAAGGACGAGGTTCTCTGTCTGTCTGGTCACCGCTGTGTCCCCAGGGCCGAGGACAGAGCCTGGCACAGCAGCGCTCAATAAATATTTGCCAAGGGGATGAAATTCAATAGGCAAAAGCCTCTTTAAGCATTCCAATAGAAACATCTTGAGTTCTGTTTTTAAATGGAGATTTTTTTTTTTTTTTAATATTGAAAGAATCCACACGTAGGTAGGCCATTGGGACAATGTCATAGGGGCTCCATTGTGTCTGTTACCTGACCTTGGCAATCATGAATTGATGGCCAATGTCATTTCGTCTACATACCCAGCCACTGCCCAGATGATTAGGAAGCAGGCTTAGGCTGTTATCTCATTCCATCTGTAGATTGTTTAGTATGTATTTCTTTTTACACTCCGTAGTACTCTGTTGGGTGGGTACTCCAGAACTGATTTTATCCACGCAGTCTTACGGGGTGCTGTTTGCACGCCGCTTTAAGCTGTATAAAACTGGTTGTCCTTTCTGTGGCACTTCTGGAAAGGACCCCAGCTTTATAGTACTCTTTTCTTCCATTGAGGTGTAAATTCTTGGCAATTCTTGTTACCCATGGAAAACCAAGACAAAATAAAGCAAAATACTCCCAGATGCCCATCTGTCTCCATGATAGCATACAGTACTCCTTACAGGTGCTTTGTGAAGGGATTAATTTCTTTTACAACTTTTTATTTAGGTGCCATTTCACCCTTAAAGTTGCAGGGATGTACAAACGATACTCCATGTATCCTCCAACCCGACTCACCAGTTGTTAACATTTTGTCCCGGTTGATTGGTTGAATTTTTTTTTTTTTTTTTTTTTTTTTTAGTAAGCTCTAGGTGCAACGTGGGGCTTGGACCCTTGACTAGAGACTCAAGAGTTGCAGACTTTTCCTACTGAGCCAGCCAGGCACCCCTTGTCCTAGTTGATTTATAGTTGTACTGTGTGTGTGTGTGTGTGTGTGTGTGTGTGTGTGTATGCATGCGCGTATGCTTTTTAATCATCTGAGATTAAGTTACAGACATCGTTCCCCTTGACCCCTGAACACTGCAGTGGGTATCTCCCCAGACTAGGGGCATTCATTTTACATTACCACAGTACACTCAGGGAATTTCGAACAGTCCGAATTAATATAATAGTGTTATCTACACCGCAAACTACATCGGAATTTCTCCCCTCGCTGGAATAATTTCCTTCATGGCAGTGTTTTCCCACCCAGGATCCAGTGCCAGGATTGCCACTGCCTTCTGCTGCCATGTCTGCCCAGTCTCCTTTAATCTGGAACAGCTCTCCAGGCTTCCTTTGTCTTTCTTAACCTTGACATTTTTGGAGAGTACAGGCCAGTTGTTTTATAGAATGCGCCTCAATTTGGGTCTAATGGATTTTTGAGCTGCACTCTGAGAATGCAATATCAAGCAGCACCCCCTGTTTTCCGCCCGCAGGACCTGGGAGCCGGCGAGAGAGACCCCTATCAGCCACCCGAAAACCCGTGCGTGAGGCTGAGGACCGAGAGGAAGACGCGTCGGCCGTGCTCAGGGCCATCCGGGTGGAGAATGAGGCCCTGCAGAGGGCGCTTCTCAGCAGAAAAGGGGAGGCCCCCACCAGCGCCCTGCAGGTGTGTTCCGTCCTGGGGCACAGGGGAAGGACCACGGGGGTGGGGGACTGACTACTCAGGGACCCCGCTGCTCAGGTGTCCAAGCAGCATTCGCAAAGAGCACACGGTGAGGCCTAGAGACGGTATAGGCACCCCTGACCTCAGACCAGCCGTTCCTCCACCTCCTGGTGCACAGTCGCTCCCTGACCTGCCAAAGTTCCTGCGTCTTCACCTTCCTTCCAGTTTTTGTTTACCTCCGAAAGCGGACAGTGAAGGCCAATTTGCCTCCAATCCTTGCTGGCCTCTCTGCAAGCCCTGGAAACCTCAGCCCAGGGTTGCAAACTGGTGGCTGAGAGAAAGACTAATAGAGTAGACAAGAGCCCTGGCTTCTCCGGAAAGACCTCCTTCCCCAGAGAGAGAGCCCCTCAGGCCTCGGCCGCCTGCAGCACCTCCTGCTGTCCGGCCCCTGCCCCGCTGCACCTATTCGGGAAAGCTCCATGGCCCTGCGGAGGTTTGGGTTCGTGCCCACTGCCTTCAGCTCTGAGCAGGAAGCAGGAGGCTACTTGGTGGGGTGGGGTGGGGTGGGGACCCTTCGAGAGCAGGAGGCTGTGGACACGCCCCAGTGGACACATCCTTTCTCAGAATCGGAAACAGCTCGTCCCACCGGATGCCCTCAGCAAGCCAGAAACCGGGAGGCCTGGTTTCGCTGCATTTCCTGGGTGTGACTCATAGCACCCAGAGAGCAAGGTCACGTCTTTGGAAGGCACTGAGGTGTGCCTGCCGGCAAGCCTGGGGCCCCGTCCACACCAACAGTTTCTCCCCAGGCTCTATTACGGGCTGCCTTTTGGGGCATTTATCCAGCAGCACCTGTTGTCTGTCCTCCTCAAGCTCAGTCCTTTGCCCCTGATGTGTGTGTGTATGTTTTTTTTTTTAAGTTTATTTATTTATTTTGTGTGTGAGAGAGAGAGAGCACGAGCAGAGCAGGGGCAGGGAGGGAGGCAGAGAATCCCAAGCAGGCTCCGTGCCATCAGTGCAGAGCCCGACACAGGGCTCGATCTCACGGCTCGATCTCATGACCGGTGAGATCACGACCTGCTCTGAAATGAAGAGGTGGAGACTCCACTGACTAAGCCACCCAGGGCGCCCCTGCCTCTGACATTTGTGCCTCTAGGATCTCAAGACCATCCCCATGCCTTTGCTCTCATCTATGAGTGAAGAGTCCACAGTGATTGGCTTTATTGTGACCTCAGATCGTATGATTACCCTGTTCCAGGACACGGAGGGACCACTGGCAAAATCGTGGACCAGTCTCCTGAAGGGGAAGGAAGAGAGCCCTGAGGTCGGTGAAGGCCTGAGCACGACACGGCCCGGTGCCCACTGTGCCCACGGCACCCGGTAGCCTCCCCAGGGCGTTCCCCACGTGGTCCCAGCAGACCCTCACTGTGCTCCCTGAGGTTGCCATCCTTCTGCCCACTTCACAGATGGGGGGACACCTGGGCCAGCGCAGCTTGCCCCAGGTTGCGAGCAGAAGCTGGAATTCACCCAGGCCTGGGGACTCCAGTTCCTTGCTACGTTTCGGGTTCCTGACCAGACAACGCAAAAACAGACCTCAGTATCCTGAATAAATAAATAATGTCTGTGTCTACTAGGTCAGTTAGGCTCATCTCAGCAAAGGCAGCCCCGGCAAGTAGACCCAAGGGGGCGCCTGAATTAATGAAACACCCAGAAACGTCATTGTGAGATTGTGCCTGGGTCTGTGCCCTGTTCCCAGACTACCGAGTGGCCAAATCAGATCAGATTAGCCCCTGGCCTCACGGAACTTGCAGACACAATCAAGTAAAGCCATAAATAAACAGTGATTTCGGAGCGAGATGGCATAAAGGATTATAGATAGTGACTGCCTCTGAAACGGGGGTCCAAGGAGGCCCCTGGGAAGGTCCCATTTGAGCTTAGCCCCGTCTCTTAGGGAATGAGCCAACAGCAGGGAACAGCATCTGGGTGGAAGGAACGGGATGCTCTGAAGTGGGAATGAGCCCAGCCTGACCCAGGAGTGGGAAGAGGGAAGCCTGACTGGGAGGGGGGTGTGCAAAGAAGACACAAGGGTGGGGGGGACAGTGAGGCAGGGAGGGGAGGAGAGAGTGCCCACGGGAGAGGGCGGTAGGCAGGGCAACACCCCAGAGCACCCGAGTGGTTTTCTATATGTGTCCCTCCTGCTCCACCTCTTATTTCCCGCTCATCCTGAACCGTCACCAGCTGACATTTCTGACCAGTCTGTGGCACTGCCCACCACACAGCCCGAGATTTCTGGATGACCCGACCCTCCCACCCCCTGCCCCCCACCCACAGAGCCGCCAATGGCTATAATCACTCGCGGGTAGAGAGTGGAGCACATGTCTACTTTAGACAATAACTCTAAGAGAAGGAAATGTAAAAATGAAAGGGCCCTAAGTATGGTACTGGAATTCTCCATGGAGTCTGGTTACTTTGTAGCAAACAGAGCAAGGGTACAGGTTGAGATAGGGAAAGATTTTGAGAGGAGATTTTTTTTTTCAATAGCTGATTGGAGAGATGGCTTCCTGGGACCTCCCCAAGCATAAGAAACAAAACTCTGTCTTTTTGCAAAGATCGTGGCAGAGGGTGGAGGTGGCAGGGGATGGGGCGGGGGCTGGGTCCCATGGGGGAAGGCTGTTGTTACTCTCATCCCTATTCCTGCCTCCTGTCTAATAAGCTTCTCTGTCCTCAGCTGCTTCCTACCCCGGAGGCGGTCAGTGGGACCGGCCAGAGCAGCCCGCAGGAGCCGTCCAGAACAGCAGGGGGAGCCAGAGCCGTCAGCGAGGCCATCGACAGAATTGGCCTTCTGGGAGGCAGGTGTGTACCACATCAGCTTCAAGAACCCCATAGCAGTGTGGCCACGAGGGTCTTGTGAGCTGAGGTGTTGCTTTGCTCCCCCTACTTTATTCCAGACCATGCAGCACGGCCCCCCAACATTCCACCCTCCCTCACCCTCCAGCCCTAAAGCACAGAACTGACTTGTCTTTCCGGCAAACGTGTCTTCGCCCGTTTGATTCGGTCCAGCCCTGTTCATCAGAAGCCTCCCCGGAAGCCCCCCATGCAGCAGACGGTGCTGGCCTGGCAGGGTGGAGGGTCAGAGTGGCCCCCAGCCGTGTCCCTCAAACCCTTTTTGCTGTTGGATTTGTCCGAGTGCGGCAATCTGTTCCATCAGCATGTCGTATCAGCTTTTGGAACCATCAGGCTGTATTGTCACGGCCAGAAGTCTTCCCTCTAGTCTTCAGGCGAAATGGGTCTTCAGAAGGACGCACCAGGCTGAGCTTTTAGTTTCAAGCATCGGCACACAGCAACACTCCCCCGGGGCCGGCGTGCGGGGCTTCACGCGCTGTGGTATATGCGGAATGCCTATGCCTGTCTGAGGGGCCAGAGGGGCTGAAATCCCGCTGGCATCCTGGTCGCTAAGCTAGGGCCCCCGTCCGGGACCGCAGCAGCCCAGAGAGGGGTGGGGGCTCCTCCTCCACAGCACAGAAGAGGAATCTGTGTGCCCTCCAGGTGTGCGCCCACCCCCGAGGGGTGTCCTTCCTCTGATTTGCAGAAAAACTCTGAATAGGCAGTTCCAGCGATCCCTGTAAGCGACTGCAGACCCCACAGCCTGACGACCGTAGCCAAGTGTCGCTGTGTCCACATAGGCACTCCCTGATCCCTCTGCGTGCCAGCGGGCTGGTACCTGCGGACACTTTCCATCCTCTGCCATCCGTTCCCAGGCAGCGCACACCCCCAGGCGCTTCTTTCTTCGTCCTCATGCTCCCTGGTGCTCCGCGGTCTTGAGGGGTACGCAGCCTTACACCGCACGCGTGGGGTGCGTTGCAAACCACACTCTGCAGAGCTGGGAACACCCACATCCTCAGACACAAGGGGTGCAGAGACCGGGAGTAGCAGCCGTGTGCAGTGAAGGGCCAGACAGTGAACACCCGAGTGAATAGGGCTTTTTGCTTCTTGGTTGTTTGTTTGTTTGTCTTAACAACGCATCAAAAGGTAAAGACCATTCTGGGCTCTCAGGACGAGGAAAACCAGGCTGCGGGCCATATCCCACCTGCCTGCTGTCCTTTGCCCACCCCCGGCATCAGCCCCTGCTCAGTTACGAGTCAGCCCAGGGAGTCGGCGGGTCGCCTTGCCCCAACCGATATCTTCTACTCGGCTCTTCCTTTATCACAGGCCGTGCAGTCATTATAAAGGGGGGAGCAGCCTGCCTGCGCCTGTGAACCGTGCGCGGGGCGGGCTGCCTCTTCTCAGACCGCTGCTGCTTCTGCAACAGCAAAGCCAGTGTGGGGCCCTGACGGGCACGCTCTCTGTTGCGTACCATCTGTTACGACCGCTTGCTAAAACCACATCACATTTCAGACAACAACAAAGGCTTCTGAAAGTCCTCCAGACCATCGAAAGCGACTCTGCCCATCTCAGCAGGGCTGTTTCGCCGACAGAGGAGCCAGTGCCAGACCCAGAGGTGAGACGCTCGGCTTCCAGGGGCTTCCAGATACATCTAGCATCTCGCCCAAAAGGGCAGGGAGGAAGGGCACCTCGGTGCTATCATCTCTGTGCGGTGGGGGTGGCTGCCACAAGGGGTAAACTTGACCTCTCTCTGCCCGAGTCTGCATCCCCCTCCTGCCCAGCAGCCAGATGCACATGTGACAGAGCTAAAGGTAGCAGCAGAGAGAAGCCTGTGCACACAAGAGGCAAAACATAAATAGCATGTAAACCCACAGGGACATGTCCAGCATCACTGGTGATCCAGAAATGCAGGTTCTGGGGCGCCTGGGTGGCTCAGTGGGTTAGGCATCTGATTTCAGCTCAGGTCATGATGTCACGGTTCATGAGTTTGAGGCAGGTGTCAGACTCTGCTGACAGCTCAGAGCCTGGAGCCTGCTTTAGATTCTGTGTCTCCCTCTCTCTCAGCCCCTCCCCCACTTACAGTCTCTCACGCTCTCTCTCGCTCTCTCAAAAATAAAATAAACATAAAAAACTTAAAAAAAAAAAAGAAACTCAGATTCGAGCAGCCTTAATGTCTGATTTGATATCTGGGTTTGTGGATTATTCTCAATGATAAGCTCAAGGACTTGCAGGGTTACGGCGGGCTTACCCGGCTGTCAGTAGAAATGGGTGGAACTCTCTTGAAAAGCACAAAAGGCCAGGCTTAGGAAGAGCCTTAGAAATGCTTCTGTCCTCCTGGCCCCGCGGCCTTGCTTCCCCACCCCTCAGGAAATCACTCCACGGTGAGCCAGAGCTACAGGCACAAAGATGTCTGTTGCAGAATGATTGGAAGTAAGGAAGAATGAGGGGGAAAGAACCAGAAATAACAGAAATGTCTCGTGATAACAGAGTTAATCGGGCAGGTGTGAGGCACCAGCACGGTGCAGAAGTGTAAAAGAAGGGGAATTATCATAGAGATTGTGCAGAATGAAAACGTTAAGGATATAATAACTTAACTGCAAAAGGTGATGTTCATCTTCATTGAGTCCAGTGCGATTGCGGTGACCGCGCAGAGCTAGGGCTGTGTGACGTGTCCACTCAGCAGAGACGTGAGTCAGAAGCGAGGTGGCATCGGGGCAGAAGGGCAACCCGGCTTCTCGTCTCTTTTGTGTCGGAAGGCGTGTGTCTGGCACACCCCTCTCACCCCTTCCTTTACCCGAGCCTCTCTTATAATTATTTAGCACAGCGGTCACCATTCCTGCCACTGGCAGATGAGGACTTAACCCAAAGCCCTCTCAGAGCCACACATCAAACTCCCGTGACAGCAGAAAGACCCCCCGCACCAGCCTAGACACCCTGCACAAGCCTAGACCCCCTGCACCAGCCTACACCCCCCGCACCAGCCTACACCCCCCTATCAACCTACACCCTCCCGCACCAGCCTACACCCCCCCATACCAGCCTAGACCCCTCCCGCACCAGCCTACACCCCACCGTATCAGCTTAGACCCCCCCCACCAGCCTACACCCCCACACCAGCCTACACCCCGCCCCGCACCAGCCTACACCCCCCCGTACCAGCCTAGACCAGAGTCTGGCTCTCAGTCTGGCACTGTCCTTTAAAGGGCAAGCCTCTTAAGCTCTCTGACCCTGGGTAGCCCCACGCCTGTGGGCTGCTGTGAGGACAAAATGTTTTGTGAGGGC